AGCCGCAGGGCATGTCCTTAGGCACCGTACCGAGGCGGTGCCCAGCCGACTGGGACAGACCGCCTCGGATAAACGGGCCTCGCAGGCTCTTCTGCACCTGGATTACGTGCACGTTCCCGGATCCAGCACAAATGTGCACGTGGGTCTGGATACATCCGGCTTTGGTAGGGTCAGGGGATCATGGCCGCATAGCACGGCTCCTTGGAAATTCACCGCAACAGGGAGGGCAGAATGCAGAGCCACCCGCTCCAAGCCGCGTGCCCTCCACCACTCCAGCTTAAGGAGACTCTTCCTCTGTGCCTAGCAATATGGGGCACAGGACACACAGCTGAGCAGCTCTGGTTGCAGCCAGCACTACACCGACCTCGTCACAACTCATACTGGCCGCAGGTAGAGGGGGAGAGAGGCTGTACACCCCAGCGGACACTGCCAAGAGCGGCTAATTATTAATTGCCTAATCTCCTTCTTATCGCCACAGTCCTGCTGACCAGGGCATCTCGCCCGCCTGCACCCCCAGCCACTATCCACCTCCTTTTAAATGCCCAGCTGCAAGAACAGCATATCCCGACCCCTGCTCTTGCCATGTTGACAGGGCCTTCAGGAAAACCGAACGGTGGGAACGCTCCGTGGAGCCACCCATCGCCCAAATCCCAGTTCATCCACTGAGCCGGTCGTCATGGGGGTTGTTGGGCACCGATACCCAATGTTATAACGGAGCAAACATGGGAGATGCTACCCCGGGAAGACTGCTGAGAGCTGTTGCTGTCACACCTCGGATGCCCAAGGTGCCCACCTTTATATTTTACCGACACGAGGGCCGACCCGGCCGACTGTGACATCACAGTGATGCGAGCACGGGGAAGGTGGCGCACTCGGGACACCGTCGGCGCTCGGGCAGCCTCTTCCCTATTCTCCCCCTGCGACGCGACTCAGAGCTTCGCTCCGGTCACGCGGCCCCTGGCTCGGCCTTGCTGGCGTCGGCCGTGCCCGCGCTGGGACGGCAGGCTCGGTGCCCGTCCACGACCCGAGCACAAGATGTTCCTCTTTGCTCACAAAACCAAGACGCCCATCAGCACCTACACCGAATCCTACCGGCAGCCCCGGTCCATGACGCACAACTATAAGGAGCCTCTGTCAAACACATGGAAGAAAAACAAGTTTATCACAGAGGTAAATCTCGCACGTCGGAGGGTCCGTGCCTGCTGGAGCACGCGGCGGGTGGCTGGGCGCTGGGAAGGGAGGCTGGCACTTAGAGGGCTGCTGGAAAGGGCTCTACGCTGCCTGGGGAGCCAACGCGGGAGGTCCTGCTGGGAGAGACTGGGATTTGGGGACTTCAGGGCACGCAAGCAAGAGTCACCCAGCCAGGGAGGAGGAGGCGGCATTGGGCTGCTTAACAAACACAACACGGAGGATAATCCAGGGTCAAGTCGCCCCTGCCCGATTCACACCATGGCTTTGAACAAGGTCGCCCCGGGAGAGGGACCCAAGAGCAGGATGTCGGGCAATGCAACGAGGCCATTCTCATCTGCAGGGAATAATTAAATGTTCACTGAGCCAGAGCGACCGGGCACGCTCCAGCAAGGGCAGAGAGCCCGGTTCCCATCCCTGCACTCAGCAACGTGTGAGGATTTGGGGGGCGTTAAAGTGGAAGAGCTTCTGGTGGAGCGACGGAGGGAAACGAGCGCTGCTCGGGACCTGGGGTTGCAGGTCTTGCTGCTTGCCCAAGGGGACGTTTCTTTGTCACTGCTCCCCTTCTAAGTGACATCGATGGGCCGACAAGGAAACAGCAACAGGTCTCAAGAGCAGAGGACCAGCGAGAATAGTGGGGGAAAGGGGAACGGGCATCGTGAGTCCGGTAGCTCAGTGCAAGCAAGGAGCCCAAGTCTCAGGTGGTGAAACTCCTGGAAGCACCATGGTATCAGGGCCAGATTTGCAGGGTGCCGCTGACCCACACGCCGGCGGCTGCAGCAGAAGCAGGGCATGGGGAGCCGTGGCGTAGGCCAACAGATCCCCTCCACCGTGGAGGATGCTCTCAAAACGCATCTTTCCATTTGAGAGCCCGGCAGTGCAACCTCCTGACTGCTCGATGCACTTTGGACAGGCCTGGGTGAGCACCCGGCCGGGCAGCTCCGTCTTCCTCGGGACCCCGCGGACGGACCTCAGAGCCCCCGACCCAGACTCCAGCTGACGGCACGACGGCTCCCAGATCTCATGACAACGCTAATAATCCTTCCAGCTTCCCCACCCGCTTTGCAACCATGAATTCAGTAAGCTGGGTGCTTAATTAATCCTCATTCCCTGCCATGCTTGTGCTCCTCCTCCAGCCAGGCTGCATATCCCATCCCCTGTGCTCTCACTGTGCACGGAGCCACGTCCTCAGGGATCTTGCAGGGAAATGACAGCAATTTCCATCTCCATGTTAAAAAGGAGTCCAGGGGAGGGCATGACGGGAGCCACAGAGCTGCTCTCCCCGCTGAGGTTACCAAGCCGTGCTTTCTTCCTGCAGGTCTCTCCTGGGCTGAGGAGTGTTTGAGCTCCCTGGCCCACCTGCCATGGATGGAGAGGCTGCAGAAAGGGCTCCAGCTTTCATGTTTGCTGTGCCAGCTGCTCCTCTCCCCCTGCCTGCGCGTATCCCGCCAGCCTGCTTTGTGCCAGGCTGTTTGCTCTTCATTGTGCGCTGCTCCCTTGTTGAGCTGGGGAGGAGGAAGAAGGAAGCTTGCATGTCACCCTGGGTTACCCGCTCCCAGCAAAGCCCTCCCAGCCCCAGACTGGGTTACCCAGCTGCCAGGGAGCACCTGCTGCTGCATTTCTGAGCTGGCCCTGGGCCGCATGCCCTGCCAAGTGAGCTGGAGAGCTCCCGGTGGGGTCCGGCTGCACGGCCTCAGGGCAGGGCCTGGGATTGCTAGCAGCATGCAGCAATCCCAGGGGGGACGCAGGGCTGCTAGGTACCCCTCAACTGCTCGGAGCCCATCAAGCAGGCATTGAGACATTGCCCAGAGACATTCAGAGCCAATGTGGTTGCTCCGGCGAAGGGGGAGAGACTGGGCATGTGGCTATTTAGCAAACACAGCAGATAGAGGGGCTGGACCCTGCCCCATTACAGACCAAAGCAAGTCTCCAGCAGGAGCCAGCTCATCGCCCTGTCCCAGACAGCTCGCAGGCGCTCCCTGAGGATGGGCGCAGGGCAGCACGCATGCGGGTGCGTCTTTTTGGTGGGTTGGAGCGATGCAGCTCCAGGGAAGAGGTGCGGGACAGGGCAGGACCTACATGCACCGGGTGGGGAAGTGCTGAGAGAT